AGAGAGAGAGAGAGAGGCTTTTGCCATTCGTGTCAAGTACTCAATATGGAAAAGTTTTAAGGTCGATCAACACCTTCTTATATGAACCCTGGAACATCAGCACCTTCTTTGCATTTGTTATCATCTTGTAATGTTGAACTATTAGTATGCAGTGTAGCAATTGATCACTTGAGGTCTCATAAAGTCCTGAGGATTTGATGAAGAGGATCAAATATGGAATCTGAAAGTGCAAGCAAAAGCAACCAGCTCATAAATACGAAACCTGAGGATAATCGCGAAGATGGAAAACCGCTTTTGGAAGAAAACAATCCCAAACTTTCTTCCCGTTCTTCTTCTTCTTCTTCTTCTTTGGAATTATGCAATGGCATTCCTGATAATTCCTCCTCCAAATCCCAGCATGAGGGAGCTCTTTCATCAGAATCAGAATCTTTATCATCACCAGATGTCTATCAGACACCTCAGTGGAGCATGATGAGCGCATCTCCACGTGCCGGAAGCACACTTCTTCTGTCACAAGAATTGTCACGCCAGAATCAGGACTGGAATGCTTTCAGTACAATGAAATCTCCCCCAGTTCAAAACATGGGGCGTCCCACAGATTATGATCCAAATAGGATTCCAGCATCTGTATTTATAACCAAAAGAACAGGAAATATGGAGTGGAGTGTCGCTTCAAATGAGTCACTGTTTAGCATTCATATGGGAAATAACAGTTTCACTAGGGGTTATGCTATGTTCGGCAAGTCTGGAGAATTTCCGCGGCTTGAAGAATGGAACAGTTCACCATCCAATCTTCATTATGTTCCTGAAACCAAATCTGGTGAGTTGAACAGCTCCGCTTCCAGCCTTCCCCCGCTCATTGAAGTACCAGCAGACAGAGAAAATAGTGTAAAATTAGGGGAGACTTCTAGAGTAGAAAAAGAAGATTGCGGCTTATGCCCAAAGGTAGCCCCAACAGAAACTGTAGAAGATCAAGCAAAGGAAAAGCCAGCTATGACTGAAGAAATTCATCTCCCACCTAGTGTTTCTAATGTATCAGATGGTAAAATATCTACTCATTCTCCATTGAGTCCCTCTTGTCCTTCTGATGACAGTGGAAACAGCAACATCTCATTTGCTTTCCCAGTGTAAGTTCTTCTTTTAAAAGTCTCTGGCTGAAATCCATGGTGAAATGAGTATAGTTTGGTTTTGTTAAGTCTTTGAAGGTGATTCCTTCAGAGTCTATTGTATTACCAGCTGCTTCCACTAACAATTTCTTTTCAGATTCTGTTACACACATATATCTACAATATTCATGTTTTTACCTTCTTTTTCTGTCTTGTACTATCAAATCCTCCTGACCTTACACGCCATTTTAGCTTTCTCCTCATTTTGACCATGAAAAAAGTTAGTCTTCAAGGTGAACAAAATGTCCCTATATTATTTCTTCTTCTGCATTAAGTTTTCAAGAATTACTTACTCTTTGCTGACCGATGTTTTCTCTTTGTTGCAGATTGGTAAAAGACGGAGTGAAAACTGAGTCGTTGAAAACGGTACCTAAGGAACCTGTAAAACCACAATTGGATTCAAAACCTTCGAATGCAACACCCAAAGCCTCCGAGATGAGATGGTTTTCTTGCTTCTTTTGTTGGCCTCTTCGCCATTGAGATACCATTTATATCTAATTTATTTTCTGAGTTGGCATTCTGGGAACTAATAGCATGGAAGTAAAAATGATAGGCTTTTGGTGTGAAACTAATTGCCTATCTCTGTTATTTGTACTTGATGGATTGTAATTTCGATCAAT